CTTAGTCATGGATTATAGTTTTGATTTCTTGTTGATTTTGGTCAAAATTCATAATTTCTTGATCTTTCCAATATTGTTTTTGGTATATGGAAATTATTGAGTACCCAAAAAAGAGATATAAAAGGCCAAATGCCAAAAATAAAACAATAATACAAAGCCTCAAATACAACAAAACCAACCCATCCCCTAATGAGGGGCAGGCCAAATAAAGCTAACAAACAATAAATTAATAGCACATCAGAATAACCAATAATGCAGAAAGAAAAAAAAAAATTAATAACACTCAAATGCTCTCTAATTCGCAACGGGTTTGTAGTTCAAGCAGTTAAGAACATTCGTCCATGCACCTGAGGTTGTAAGTTCGATTCGATTTCTCCTAGTCCGATATAGAAAGTATAATAATAATTATAATAATTATTAGGCAAAATTGTAGCAGTAGTCCCTGGACTAAGACCAAACTTTACTTTTCGTCCCTCATATTGCTAAATTGTTACAATGGTACTTTAATTATGCCTTCATTTTCAGAATCGTCCTTTCCGTCATCTCAGTCAACTTTTCCATTAAAAATGAGGGCATATTTGTCTTTTCATTAATTTTAAATTGATTAAAATGTTTATTAAAAAAAAAAGATTTTCTATTTAAACCCCACATTTCTCTTTGTTCACCCCAACAACTAATTTAAATTTTCAAAATTTCTAAGAAAACCTCACTATCTTCCCAAGTTACCCTTAAGTACACCCCAAGTTGAAAAAATAAGAATTAAAAGAGATTTTCTATTTAAACCCCATAATTTTCTTTGTTCACCCTAATACTTAAATCATTAAACAATATTTATAGTATAAATGAGATTTTGTTGTTTTCACAAGCTGTTTTTATCATGTGATTAGATCATATGGGAAATTGTAGTTTGTTTTGTTTTGTTTTATTATGGCAGTGAAAACCAATGACCACAACATCTTATTTTATTTTTTACCCAACGGAAAAAGCTCAATTATCAAACATCATTAAACCAACCCTAGCCACTGGAAGTTGTTCGTTATAGAGCCAGTCCCATAGCATGTTATAAACAAAATCAAGACAAATGCAATAGCAAATACATCCACCCATTCCATCACAAGCACCCTACGAGTTGTGTAATCCAGATACATTTCTGGAACCAAAACATTAGGTATAAAATTTAAATCAAAAATCAAATCAACCAAGCAATCAACAAAGGGAAGAGAACAAGATCATTACAGCCAAACAATCAACAAGCCTTTCCATCAGCTTCCATACAAATTTTAAAGAAGTAGGCTCCTCAATGTTCTACGTAAAGAGTAATCTGGCAATAAGATGTAGAGGAGTTTGTATTTTTCTAAAACTTAATATGAAGAGTGGTGGGGTGTGTGTATAGATGTACTAGGATTAAGTATTAAGTTGGATGACCTTTTTTGTCTGTTTACACAATAATAAAACTTACAGCTTAATAATTTAAGTATTGGGGTGAACAAAGAGAAGTGCGGGGTTTAAATAGAAAATCTCAACCAAAAGAAAAAACTCTCTCTCTCTCTCTCCATTCCCACGACCACCACCTGGCCCCATGAACTCAGCACCCAGCACCCTCGCCCTAGCCCGCAACTGCAAAAAAGAGAAAAAAAAAATCATCCACAAAACCCAGAACCCTAGCAACTACAGGAAAGAGAAAAAAATTCATCATGCTTGTTTATTTATTTTATTTTCTTTCCTTTGTTGTTTGGTTTTGTTGGAGTATTTGGGTCTGATGTGTGTTATCTCATCAAATAGATGGGTGTGGGGGAGAGAAAGACTTGGAGCCAAGATTCCACATCTAAAATTGGTGGGGTTTGATGTGGGTTATCAGGTGGGAGAAGAAATTGATGGGTGGGGAGGAGAAGAAATCTGGGTAAGAAATCGCGGGGGATGAGAGGGGAGGGTGGGGAATACTTGCCCTCTTTGTCAATACGAGCTATCAACTGATGACAGAGACTACGAAGAGGGGAAGCGGAACATTAGTGGTAGACCCACAATGTTCCAATTTCCTGAAATTATGTGGGCCTAATTTATTATGTCCAGTAGCTCTACTTGACCTCTATCAAATATCCTCCTCGTAGAGCCAAAATAAGAGTCAAAATAATAACCATAATTTAAAAAGGAAATTGGTGGGGTGGGGGTGGGAGAAGAAATCTAGGTGTATGGGAGGAAAGAATAAATTTGGGGGAGAAGAAATCGGGAGAGATATATATATATATATTAAATTTTTTGTGTGAAAGACATTTTTGCCTATGCTAAGTAGGACTTGTTCATGTCATGTTATCATTTTTAACAAAAAAGTTGACTAAAATGACGGAAATGACAATTTTTGAAAGTAGAGACATAATTAAAGTACTACCATAATAATTTAGCAATATGAGGGACGAAAAGTAACGTTTGGTCTTAGTTTAGGAACTATTGCTACAATTTAGTCTAATTATTATAATTAAAAATAAAAGCTTCCGAAGTCCAGAGCATGCAAAATTTGTTCTACTGCAGAAGCCCATGTTACACCAAAAGCCCAATGATCCCAAAACTGTTACAACAAAAGTTTCTCTCTTTAACAGATCAATCAGATACTGTGCAAGGAAGCCCAAGTTAACATTTCAAGCCCACTTCTCATGAAGAAGACACAAACTCAAGCTCTTCACATGCAAATACAAAAAGCCCAGGAGGAAAAGCGCTTTTGCCAACTGCCAAATTCCAAGCATCAATCAACACTCGATTGCCAGTCAAAAGCGTTTTGTAAATTAACTTTTGGTGCTGATGGAATCCATGGCATGCCACTTCTTTTACATTCTGCTGGTGCATCAGGAATACTATGTTCTGGGCATCATCACGATTATGGGTCCATATGGGTCCTCTGGCTGGAAAGCTAAAAACAAGAGTAGTTGAGGATGCCCACAGCAGACTATAATTTAAGATGACCAATTTTCAAGCAATAGGGCTATTTCTTGAATCACATATAATGATATAACAAGCATGCCTATGTTCAACATCTAGGTGCTATTGGTTATGCCAGCCAGTTGATTAGGAGAGTGAGTATGCCCTGCTTATACCCAAATTCGAATCCTTATTCTCGTAAATTATATTAATTTAGAGTAATTTAGACTATCACTCGTATTTAAAAAAATGAAAGTAATTAAAGCAATCAATAGGCAAAGTTTATCCGAGAAATTATAGAATGATACTGTATCACCACGTCAGCTGGTGATACTCTCACTCAAAATATGCCATGTGTCTTAATTTTTTAACAACTCAAATTTTATTTTACACCTGGAGTTCAACCTAATTTTAACCCTTTAAAATAAAATTAAGAAAATAAGAAAATCGAAAGAAGAAGAAAAAAGAGCAGAGCCACCGCCCACCGCAATACGCCAACCTCGCGCCGCCTGCTCTGGCCGTCGTCCCTTCCCTATCTTTTATCTCTCTCCCTCCATCTCTCTCTCTCTGTTGCCCTTTTTTAACTTTCTCAACCTTTCAGTGACTATCCCCTAGATCCATACATATTTTCTCGTTGATGAAGGTTTCCCTAGCAGATGTGATTCGCGAAGAAGATTGGGATGGGAGGTGGGTGTATCATATCAACCGTAACACAATCCCCAAAACCCAACAACGCCCTTAGTCTCACGAACGACACCCCGACTTGAGTCTTGAGAGGCCGTCAATCATGCTTTACCATGTCACCATCCAAATGCTTATTAGATCCAATATAATACCTAATCTTCTTTGTGATACATGGTTGCAATAATTTATTGGGCTATGGGGATTTGGCTTACTCGCAAGCAGAGGAAGAGGAAGATCTGGGTGGCGTGGGGGTTGGGGTTGGGTTGCTGAGATATTCTCTTTTCTTTTTTCCTTTAAGTTTTTTTTTTATTTTTCTAATTTTATTTCAGTGGATAAAAATAAATCCAGCTGTAAAATAAAATTTGAGTTGTTAAAAAATTAAGACACATGGCATATTTTGAGTGGGAGTGTCACCAGCTGACGTGGTGGTACGGTACCATTCTATAATTTCTCAGTTTATCCATGTATCTATAAAATAAAAGCAAAACCGCGTAATGTTTAAATTTTCAAGTAACCAAAACTTGGCCTCCTTTAAGAAAAAGTTTCAAACCACACTCATTAATGTAAGAGAACAATTAGGTAAAACAGTAGCCAATAGCACCTCGTAAACATCAATCAAATTAAACTATCAAGTTAATTCTCATCGGTGGGCCATACATTTCAAACTCGTTGCATGTTAAGCATCAATTAACATGAGCAAAGACAATCAATTAAAGAAATAAAGCTAAAGTAACAAAGTACGACATAAACAAACATTTTGACGAAAAAAAGTGATGATGACTAACATGATTGCTTACTTTGATTTGCTTGCATACTTGGACAAACTACTTTCAAAGATGCCTGAATTCAATCTTGGTCTTACCAATGATTTGATGTGCCTTAATTAAATTACGACTAGATCGGAGATTTAGTCATTATTTGGATTGTGCGTGATTCTCTTTATATTAATTTGATGTATTGTTGTGTTTGGTCAATATAGAAGATTTACTCATATTCAGCACATAATTGTTTTATACTTTTGTTTGTTAATTAACAATATACTATCGCTTATTGTTCATTAATAATATATAGTTAAATCATCTCATAAACTTGTTTACGAAAACACCATAACATGTTTCGGACTAAACACCTTAATTCTCGTCAGAATTAACTAAAATTTGAGTGAAAAATTTCTGGTGAATAAATATGGTGGTAGGGAAACCATTCTTGTTTTAACCGTTGAGGTTCAAATTTCAGGTGAAATATAAAAAGATCAACTAAGGAAGAAGAAGAAAAGAGATTTAGAGGACAATAATACTGATATGCCAAATAAGAACAAAATGACTATACGCTCACGTCACACCAAACATTTACGCAGCAATTTCAATGCCAAAGTCAAACTCTGGTCAATTATCGTAATTTCGGCGAATAACGGGGGCAAATGCGTGCCCTCCCTCTCCCGCTCACCAAATCCACCCCAAGCTCTCCCTCCATAAACCCTAAAACCAGACCCGAAATTAGAAAAGTTTCTGTTCAGAGGAAGACAAGCAGCTTTCCCTAAATTCAAAGTTTTCTCGGGATTTTCGAACACTTTCTGACTGTTGATTTTTGCCAATCGTAGCATTATCACTGGATTTAGCTTCTTCACTGGTAAGTAACATTTTGGTACTTCCATTTTTAGATGTTCAAATTTTATTTTCAAATTTTTGTTCTGGAAATGATTTAGTAAAAGCTTAAGTTGAGAAAAGAAAGAATAGTTAAAAAGCTGAATTTAATAGTTCATTTTGGTCTTTGAGCTCGTTTTAGCTCTCTCTCTCTCTCTCTCTCCGTATGGTCTCTTGGCTCTGTTTGGTCGCTGGGAAAATGGACGAAAGTGAAAAGAGAAGATCGTTTTATTTCTCTTAACTTATGTGTTAGTAGAAATGAACAAAGTTGGAAAGACTAGACTTAGGTACTGTGTGTGTGTGTGTCTTTTGTTTTTAAATGACTTGGATACTGTTTTATCTTTTGCTTTCTTCCATTTTTGTTGGCACCAAAGCAGGTCGATTTGTAATTTGTTTCCCACTTTCAAGAAATTTAGTTGATTTGACAAGATTAAAATTATCAGAACTTTTTTAATCGATTCTCAACTGGGTATGCTTCTGATATATCTTCTTTTTTCATCTGAAGTTTCGCAGTTTGACAAGTCTGCATGGTATGTTGGTATTTGTTACGGCCTAAGTGATTAACTTTCTGGGGATAATACATTGTTAGTGGGTACTCTGTGCACTGTCTTGCTGGTGATGTTCTTTCTATATCTGTGAAGAATCTAAGAGGCTATGGAGAGTTTAGAAGTCATGAGTAATGGCGTTCAATCATGCAATGGAGGGTTGATGCAATTTAGCAATGATGTGAAAGAAAATGATAATCGGGATGTCGACTTACTTGAGGATTTTGATTCTTATTGGCAAGATATCAATGACCGGTTGACCATATCGAGGATGGTGAGTGACTCGGTCATCAAGGGTATGGTGAATGCGGTAACACAAGAGGCAGCAGAGAAAATTGCTGATAAAGAACTAGAGGTGACTAAATTGAAAGAAATGTTACGTGTTTACCATGTGGGTGTTGATGAAAATGAATTGTTGGGGTCTTTAGCAGTGCACCAAGAGTCAAACAGATTTGTCAAAGAAGGTAACAAAGACAAGATACATCCTAGCTTTCTTGAAGCTGTTTTAGAGCATGATAGAATAGAAGAATCTTTGAGCAGCTTAAGAGGAGCAACTAAAGAGCAGTTCAAGAAGCTGAAGAGAGAAATTGATAGCATAAGAGGGCGTAGCTCAGTTAAGAGAATTGGTTCTAGTTCTCAGTTGTCGGGTTTGAGTGACATACTGCAAGATAAAGTATCAGACAGATGGATTGATGTGGATAGGACGCTCAATTGTCTAAAGAGTACAATAGAAACTAGCTATCAACAGGTGGAACAAATGGTTCGCTTGTCAAAGGCATCAGTATGTGAGTGGCAACAGGAGCAGGAGTTTAAAGCAGAAATTGAAGCACTTGTGATGACGAATTGTATTTGGAGTGTTGAAGAAAATTTTTTATACCGGTTTTATGGTGATAAAAATGTGAACGGGCATGGAAGGATGAAAGAGATATCAAGCTTACGTCAGGAATTAGACACCATTTCTAAATTGCTATATGTTTCTGACATTGGGCAGCTATCTTCTCATGGATCCTTGGAAGTTGATGAAGAAAGTAGTAATTTTAAGAAGGGAGACCATTCCCACCGCAAGCTTTTAAACAATCTTAACTCATCATCTCCATCTCCATCATCGTCATCATTGTCAACATCAACATCATCATCATCATCTCTTTGGGAAGAAAATGGCAAGCATGATGAAAATGGCAAGGATGACGAGTCAGAAATAAATATGCAAAAAAGTTTGGATCCTACCCGGGTTATGCATATGTCAAGAGATGAATTGATAAATTATTATAATAATGAGATGACTAAGTTGAAGCGAAATCATGAATCTAAAGTGCAAGATATGATTGAACACCGATTCAGCCGCATGCGGGAATTGTTGAAAGAAAGGGGATCTTCTTTGTCATCAAAGAAGAATAAGGAGTTTGACATGTTTAGGAGGAGAATATCTGAGGTTATTTCTAAATTAGATGACATTCTTGTTGAACATGAGCAAATAGCTACATTTGGTGTCAATGAAGAAAGTCTTAGCAGTTTGAAAGACAGACTGGAATCACTCCTTTCAGAAAATCACCAGCTCAGAGATTTGCTCACAGATAAGAAGAGAGAAGTTAAGTTCCTTTCACAACAAGTTTCTGAAGCTGCAGAGAAAATGTCAGAGCACTCTCTGGCTGAGGCAAAGTTGTTAAAAACAACCGCAAATCTTAATGCAACTATAGAAGATGCACATATTGAAGCTTTAATTCGTGAAGATGCATTTTCTTGTATTCTCAGGGGAATAGTGGATCAAATTGAATGCATGGCTGAAGAGTCACAAGTGGAGTATAATCTTCTGCAAGAAATTTACAAAAGTACATTTAAAGAAGCTGCAAACAATGGTGAACCTACTGGCCAATGTGAAATTGAAGATTTGAATGTGGAGTCCATCATCATGCAAGAACTATATGTAGTTGTATTCAGAGAAACCTTGAACGATGCCGAGCAGAAACTCAATAACCTGAACATGAAATATACCAATGAAAATCAACTTCGGGTTTTGCTTGAGATGGAAAATCTAGACAAAAGAAAAAAATTAGAAGTTGAGGTTGCAAACCAAGAAAAGTTAAAGCAAGAAGTACTCTTTCTGGCAGAAGAAAAGGAGCAGTTGGCACAGGACGCAACAGCTGCCTTGGAAAAGGAAAAGGAGCGATATGAATTAGCTGCTCAAGAGCTTGAAAATTTAAGGGATGAGACATTTCAGCAACAGAAATTGATTTCAGAAGGTATTGAAGAGTCAAATGCTGCACGTCGTAATTTGGTTTTGGCATTGGAGCAAATTGAAATACATAAGGCAGAGATATGCAAGTTAGATCAGAAGCTTGAACTAGCAATGAAAGAGTTGGGGGAAGTTAATGAGGAGAGAAGGATGCTTCTTGATGTCAACCAAGAGAAGCACAACACTGTATCTTTGTTTGAAGCTAAAGAAAGGGAGCTCAAGGAGCAATTGAAATCAATAGCTGTCTATAGCCGTGGATTATTGAAAGCGGTTACTGATTTTGAATGTAGAGTAACACAAGATATTTCAGGGAAATGTTCAAGGTACTTGAGTTTTTGTTACCTATAAGTGCTTTACCTCTAAATGCCTTTTGTGCTCTAATTCTGTGTATAAAATTGATTCCTCGCTCTTGCATGATTCTTGAGACCTGTAATGCTTTGTTAATCTTATAGGTTGTATGTGTCTACTTTCAAAATCTGCATATGCATGTAAAAGATTTTGATTTAGTGCCTAGAAAGAGGTGGGTATGAGAGCAGAAATGATATGTATCAGATCAATTTGCTTACTTCGACAACATTTTTAGTTAACCTGTAAAGTTAGCCTTGTAAGTTCTCAGTTTCTGGAATGGAATGATACTTCTAGAGCACACCTTTTATAATGTTAATGTGATTACTTCTCGATGATTCCTTAATTTATTCTTTAGCTAGAGAGATCCAGCTAGTTGGTGCTAAATTTATTTAGCATCAAGGACCTCTGGATTCCACTGACATTTGCTACGCAAAAAGCTAATGTACCTGTGACTTTGTTTCCAGGTTGAAGCGTTTGAGTTCTCAATCGCATTCACTTAAAGAAAAAGCTAATGTACTTGTAAGAAGAGGGTCGCTATACAAGCAGAGATTTGAAAGGAAATGTTCTGATCTTGAAAAAGCTGAAGCCGAGGTATGTAAATCAGATAGGTATTATGCATATTTCAACTTGATGTTTAGCCTCAGATTGTCTTTCATGCTATGAAACTCATGTAAGTGAATTGTTGCTTGCATATACTTATGGGAGAAAATACTTTGAGATGCTTTGTTGGATGATAGTGGTATTTTAAATATAATTGGAAGTTATCTTCCATTACTGGCCCTGATTTCCTGTCCGTTTCACAATATTAAGCTTTAGTTTGTACTATAAAGTGTTATCTTCATACATGTACAATTACTTGGCTATTTTTCATATATATATATATATGTGTGTGTGTGATTATGTGGGACGCTGAATCTGGCCTTCATAATTGTAGAGTAAGATTCACCCATTGCATTGATCAGTAAGAATGCAGTGTCCTACAGAAGATGTTTATATCTCTTTCTCAATAGCATCTATCTATCCAATGCAAGAAAAATAGAATTAAAAGAATCGATGAACATGCATATATAATATAATTATCTCTCTCTCTCTCTCTCTCTCTCTGTGTGTGTGCATGTGTTTCAAATCACTTGACTTTGTACTAAATATGTAATTCATATGCACACGTACACATATTATGAGGTTTTACTACATAGAAAATTATCTTTTCTACTTCAAAAGTCTTGGAGTTAATGTGTTTGAAAGTTCAACTAGATGTATTTTTAGTATATAAGTTATAAATTTTTTTATTACAGATAGCTTTCAAAGTTTTTATTCTCTAGGTCATAAAAACATTAGAAATGGTCTATACCATGTATTTTTATACAGAGACCGTAATAAACTTGTAATTTTGTAGCTTATATAACGGATTATATTTCATTGGATTTCAGGTTGATCTTTTGGGGGATGAGGTGGACACTCTATTGAGCCTTGTTGAAAAAATATACATTGGCCTTGATCATTATTCACCAATATTGCAGCATTATCCTGGAGTAAGATGCTTTCTTCTGTTCGTTCGTGATTTATCATATATATACATTTCGTTTATATTTTTTGGGTACCTGTGTGCAAGGATGAAATGTTGATTTGGTGGAAATATCAGTTGTCTGTATTTACGAAATTATAGATGTCTATGAAAGCAACAAATAAAATTATATGGAATCAATGAAACTTTACTTAAAAACATGAAAATTGTGGGAATATTTTTTAAAAAAATGGCAAACTCAATCCATTATTCATCAATTGCACTGGTAAATTTCATGCACAAGTGACAAATCTATGACATTAAAGTGCCACCGATGGCAGCTTTAACACCAAGGTGAAAGGGCATCTTTAGTTCATTGAATTTTTAATCTTTGAGAACATTTTAAAATCTAAAAAGTAACTAACACTTCATATAACCACCTTATGATAAATTACACACTTAATTCACAATAGACTATGCGATTATATAATTATATCTGAGTTTCACTTACTAGATTTCCAATTACATTAAATAATACTAATTAACACTTAATAAAACTAAGTCAATATACGTTACAAACCTAATTTACATTTTATATGATTATAGTTTGTATGGCTTGTCAATCTATGAAGGAATTAATTGTGGTATGTGTCTGATGTGTCAATAAGATACTCTCATAACCTAGTAGGAGGAATGCTTGATGTACAGAAGAACCATCCATGTATTGATTCATCTTTTCCTTGTGCTTTGCAGATAACTGAGGTCTTGAAGCTCGTAAGAAGAGAATTAAGGGGAGAAACTAAAACAGTTTGATCTCCCCTTTTGACTAGGTAAGGTTTCAACTGTAAGGATTTCATTTGTGCCGCATAACTGCTATAACTATATATGTTTTTTATTTATTTATTCATTTGATATTGTTTGTTAACGTACTTGATGGTCTGACCACTGTATCTTTTGTGTCACAGCAGTATGTTACTGGAGTGGTTGTCAGGCAATTACGTTCGTCAAAACCACCAAAGAATTCAAGTAGCAAATTTGATGAAGAGAGAGATGCCGAAAGGTTTTCAACAAATATTGGCAGCGTTACATAGTGAGCCTGGTTTTTGTGAAATACAGTTTCCAACATAATTCTTTTTTTTCCTTGGAGCCGAGGTAATCCTCATCATAGTGAACCACAAGTTCCACCTCCTTCCCTGTGTGGAAGTTTTTTGTTTCTCACCTGCTCCGTCCAGGTTTATAGCCCGTTTTGTTTCTTTTGTATATGTGCCAGCAGAAGAGATTTCTTTACATAGCTTCTACATGTTCATTTCATCTATGTTGATATGAAAGCCGCATAGTACAAAGTGCATACAATTTCTCTTGAACACTCGGTGAAATTTCCACTCTCTCTCTCTCTCTCTCTTTTTGGCTTTTGCTAAGGCAACAATAATGGGGAATACAGATTGATCACCATAACCAAAAATCTAACTTTTAAATGTTGGCTTTTGCTAAGGCAACAATAATGGGGAATACAGATTGATCACCATAACCAAAAATCTAACTTTTAAATGGGTACAGATTAATCATCATGGCATATGAATTTAAGAATCGTAAACACTACCAAAAAAAATATTATTAAAAAAAATCATAGATTGCTAATAATATATTGCAGCTGAGATATAGCCTCTCCCCGGACTAGGTCTCTTCTTATTTTTCCAGTTGTCGTCACTGGAAATGGCTTCTTCCTTAAAATAAATACTTTTGGTATCTTAAACCTGCCAAAAAAAAGGGTAAAAAAAATATTAGGAAAATTTTGAAATCCCAATAATAGCCAAGGATCATTTTGTTTTAGGAGAGAAAATAGGATACCCGGTCAAATTCTTTTCTTTACAAAATTGGCAAAGGATCTCACTGGACATTTGAAGCAATTGATTTGAGACGGACTGTCTGATGCTTGTATTTATCCACTGCCAATCTTCTCTTACTTGCACACAAGCCACAACCATCTCTGTGAGGCGAGCATCTGGAATTCCCACCACAACAGCACCATTTACCCCTGGATGTTGTAATAGGATTCTCTCCACCTATATCATTTTTTTTAATAAAGGAATAGAATACCCTTTTCTGAATTGGTGTAATTTAGAACAAACGAAATCTAGATTGTATGCGCCGGTTATATATAACCTTCCTTTCACAACATACATGTAGGTTTCACCACAAATAAGCGCTCCCTCATATCATATGTATTGTGAAAGAAATACTAACACATAACCGTTGCACACAGTAATTTCTCCTACTAATTATGTCTTTTTTTCCCTCATTAGTTTCTGAACAATAATAACCACAGAGGTCAATAAAACATATGATCTTACCTCTTCAGGGTAAATGTTCTCCCCTCCACTCTTGATTCGACCATTTGCTCGTCCGATAAGCCACACATTACCAGAGTCGTCAATTGAGCCAATGTCGCCTGTGTCAAGCCATACTTCATCTCCGGAAACTGATGCATTTGGTGGACTTCCTTGCCAGTATCTAAGCATCGCATGTGGGCCTCTGGTTAAGATCCCCCCCACATGAGAAGAGCCATCCCCAGAGATCCTCAGTTCTACATGAGGAGCAGGCTTGCCAACACAAATACCTCTTTCTTGGTGAACTAGCTGCAATTTTCTTCCATCAATCCTCGGGTCATACAGGGTCATGAAGGTCAATGAAGAGCATGTCTCCGTCATCCCTTTGGTTATTAGAAAGGTAAGAGAAGAAACGAAATTATAAGTAGATATATAAGTTTGCAGGTCAGATTTCTGAGGTGTATATGAAGACAGGTTTAGGGAAAGAGGCACCCACCATAAGCTGAGAGGAGCTTAGCTTGTGGGAACAATTTGATGGCAGCCTTGGTAAGTTCACTCGACAAACCTCCACCTCCATTTAAGATCTTCTTCACACTCTCCATGCTTTTCCATGTCTCAATCCCCCTGACAGCTTTCAGAACAAGAACTCAGAAAACCAATGGCACAAGGCACAAGTACAAGGCTTTGCAATGCATGTTGATCAATCCTTTTCACAGAACTCGTAAAATACGATACTTAGTAAACGAAAAATTAGAATGCTTTCCGAGTGGGATTTTCTCTACTCTCTAAGCACACTATCATAATAAATCTCCTCATACAGCCATTCTTATAAGGAAATTACCATTACCTGAATTTGAGAACTAAATCGGCCATCATTGCAGGAACGGTGATGAGAGTAGTAACCTTATGTTGCTCTATGGCTTCAAGGGCAGATTTAGCCTCAAACTTAGGTATCAAGACATGGCGTGCTCCAATCATTAGCATTGCTAGGGCTGATGACAAACCACCAATGTGGCACAATGGAGTTGTATGCAAATAAACCTGCAATCGCCGCACAATTAAACATTGCGAACTCATTCAGTTCCTTGAGCTAAACCGCGAATTCAACCCCGCTTTTGTGCGAAACTCTAATCTGAACATCCTTGACTAATTGCAAACTATGAAAAGAACACATGCATACATCATCCTCACCGTAGCCAACAATGGCAATTTTTGCTAGGGACTGTATGATAAAAGCTGAGTGGCTTATGGCAACTCCCTTTGGCCTTCCAGAAGTTCCTACATAACAAGAACAATTAAGTAATTAAGACAAATCGCCCAATAATCTTCCAACTAATATCTAAATTTTTTCTAAGAACAAATAGACAGAGTAGAGAGCGCATACCAGAAGTGAAGCATATCATCACAACCCCCTCAGGTGCCCAGGAGTAATTTAATTGCGCGTCCCCTACGGAATCCTTTTTAATCGTTTCAGTACTTAACACTGCCCAATTGAAAAATGAAGAGTAATATCTTAACCAAATTAGTAAACCAAAGAAATGCTTTATGTTTGTTACAATATCTAAATGAAAAATCCATGTCTTAGAAACTTCATACCATTACTTGAAGTCCTTAAGAAATCCGAGGAAGGCGAATCTAACGAAACATGCCACCTAAGAGAAGGTATATGATGAAGTTGAAGCTTAGAATACCAGGGGATGCAGCTTTCATCAGTCACCAACATTACTGGCCTCACTACCTCCATCGCCAAAACTGCCTCTTCATAGTTCTGCAATGCGTAAAAGCACAACAAAAATGTTGGGTTACATTTGGTTTGCATGGCAAGTAATTTTCAGAATTACAATTTTGAAGTTTACTTACGTACCCATCGGTAATTAAGAGGAGCAGCTATGGCACCAACAAATGCAATGGCTAGTAACCACTCCAAATACAACTCACTGATAATATTAATAACAAGATCATATATTAGTATACTTTTTATATACAAGCGATAGTCTAAATTAATCTACTACGTCTAAATTAATCTACTACGTCGTGGCCAATTGGTCTAACTCGCGTGTGCAACCATATATTAGTACTTAAGAGTGTTTTCAAAAAGCATTTTTGGTGAGCAAGTGAAGCAGAACCTGTTGAAGGCAGCAATTGAGATGACATCGCCGGAGCAGAGGCCCAGTTGGAGCAGGCCTTGGGCCAGACCCATGACACTCTCCACGAATTCCTTGCCGGTCTTTCGCCTGTTGCCAGTGACAGTGACGACAGAATTGCGCCGGAAAGTTGATAGGAGGCTGAGGCATTGGCAAATGTGGGCCTCTGAGGACTTGCCCATTTTAATGGAGTGTAAGTTGGGAATTTTCCAAAAGTCCTGTTTTTGTGAAGCTCTGCAGGTACCCGTTTGAAACAAAGGGCGGGTAGAGAGAGCTCACAGCAGAGCAGAATGTCATTGGAAGACTGGATTTCAAGTTATCTTATCTTGTCCAAACACGTGGATAGATATTATTATTATTATAAGAGCTTACTGCTTACGGCATGCATTAAGCATAATGATATGCAATAATGCTATAAATAAAACCCAACGGGGCCCAACCCAAATGTGAATTATGATAAACAAAATTTGGTAAATAAGTTTGGCAATTGGAATAGAAGTATTTCTTGTGTGCAGAGGTTTGGTTTTTCTCACATCCTTGTTGAAGGTGGTTCGCAAATTTCACTTCGTATGTTACAACATCACCATGTTCTTCCTTGGTGTGTATACCGCATTCTCAATTATCAGTATATTTATCGTTAAGCTAATTTGGTGACAAACGCTAATGCTATTATTGGTCACAAGTTTCATTTTCAATGACTTGTAAAACCCCCTTTGATGTAAAGTCTTTAGGGATCCTTATTAGGATCCTCTTTGTAGTTTTGTTTTTTACTTCAAAAAGAAAATTGTAATAGGCAAACGCTAATTTGGTCACAAGTTTCATTTTCAATGACTTGTAAAACCCTCTTTGATGTAAAGTCTTTAGGGATCCTTATTAGGATCCTCTTTGTAGTTTTGTTTTTTACTTCAAAAAGAAAATTGTAATAGAAGTGTTAAATCAATGATATGTACTTGACCGCCAACTTATCCACTAATGTACCAATTAATACTACAAATTAATTGTATGGTACGATGGTTGCACAATTGAAAGTTTGATTTGTTGCAATGGTTACTATTTCTGTCAATATCCACAGTAAAAGTTTGATTTGTGTCCCCTTTCTTCGAATTAAAAGAAAGAAAAAGGAAAGACAGATGACCACTGTGGCATTGTCTTTGTTTCAGTGAAGATGGAGATATTTGACTCAAAAAAAAGGAAGATGGGATAATTTAGGGGGATTTCTCGTACACGCCACTAAGGAGTCAAGACTCTTTTTCATTAAGTTAAACTCCGTTTGTGTGTTTTTTTAAATTTATAAACATAAGTAACTTACAAACAAAGGGTTTTTTTTTTATTATAAACAAACTTAATTTGCTAAGGGGGATTTTTCATACTCATTTCACTATCAATGTGTTATGAGGGTTCGAATCTAAGACCATTGGTTAGCAAATTAAGGCTCTTTATTTTATACTGAATTGGACCCGTTTGCCTTTTTAAAAAAAAAAAAAAGCAGAAGTAACTTAACATCAAAGTTGAGTTCCTGATTAATAAAAAAGTTAATTCCCCCAGATAATGCTATATTCTTAGTGGTAATGCATGGATAAAGTTAGGTCATATTCCATCACGTATAATGATAAAGCAAAATGACAAGCTACTTTTGGCATCACAGATGAATAATGCTATTCTTATCAGCTCCAGAAGAAAGATACGACTATCCTTTGAGCCTAAATCCCATCTTTACATTCAGTCCAAAATAAAACTTAAACAACAACAACAACAAGCTTTACAAAAATACAAAGCAAAAGCTTCACCCTCACAAGTCATCAGTCACAACAGAAAAAAAGTTGCTTCAAAATTTAATTCCCACCCATCTTTTACTGTCATGCACGTTAAATACTTCCAAGATATATATACAAGTC